GTCGGCGCCGGTGGATGGTTGCAAAGGGCTCGGGGAAGGTGAGCGCCCAAAGCGGCCGTCGCCACTGTAGCCGATGGTAACGCCCGGGCGGGCGACGCCAGAGCCCCTTCCGTTGGTCTTGACCAAGCCCTAGTGCTCAAGCACATGAATCTCTGCTCTGGGCTCCCCCAGAGAAGGGGGATCCGCGAAGCGGGGAACCCGGGCGCCGCCTCAGCGTCCCCGCCCCACCCGTGGTCGCGGGGACTCGGGCACAATCTCTGCTACTGATTGTCCGGAGTGAGTCTGGCCTGAATGTGGAAGCAGTCGGGTGGGCTCAGCTCACTCTGACCCTCCAGGGTCGGCAGAGGACACAGTGATTCCCTATCTATGTTAAGCGGGTCAGCTGGGCGGGGCTCCCTCGTGTTTGCGCGTTGCGTTGAAAATGGGAAGCAGATCCGTCCCAGGCGACCTCCTATGTGAGCCTGAAATTAACTGAACGAGCACAGGATACACATATGTGCGCCTTTACTTAACAATTGCTCTCAAACAATGGCCTCCTTTCCTTTGGAGCATCCTTCTGTCAAGCAGGATCTATTGTCTCAGCGCCTACTTCGTGCTCAGATCTTGCCCCGGCCCTTTCGCGAGTACAGGGCCACAGAAGGCCAGGTTCCTGCCCCTGTACCGGGCTCAGGCCTGGGACTTGGTGCGTTAGGGGAAGAAAGGGAAGGCGCTCGTTAAAATTACTTCGTGTGCTGCACTTTTTCCTGCAGTGCTTTTCCCCCAAAGCACTGGGAGAAGGATATAGCATTGCACGCCCCGACTTCAGCTCGGCTCCCTTTTCCTGACCCTTCTTCAACCCGGCTTTCCCTCCTCAGGAGATTTGGAATTCCACCTACGTAGGGTGGGTGGGGAAAGCGCCAGTCCAGGTAAGTATGGGAGCCACATGGTTTTGAGAATGCAAAAAAGGAAATCATCTCCAAATGCAGCCAGGCAGGTGGGGGAGATGGGAGCCAAATGGGAATAGGAAATCTGAATAACCTCCAAGGCAGCCAGGGGACTCCGGACCCGTAGTGAGGTGTGAGAAACAGTCAACATTTGGAGCTCTGGAGTCAGAAGATTTTTGGCAGCTGTTAGATAACTTCCTGATCTGCAATAAAGTTCATGTGACCAAGAGGATGTTTCTGCAACTCCGTTGCCTGGCTACCTTCCCCTCTCTCGGAGTCTGCAAGTTTAAGAGATTTTGCTGGGTCCCAGGTGAATGATGGTGCTGGCCGAATGTGGGCCCAGGAAGGAGTCCTAGAGTCAGACTGGAGCAGTCCCAATATCACTGACCGCCCCAGGTCGCAACTGCAAGTTAACACAGAGGCTTGTGTTTTCAGACTGGGGGATCCAGATGGTCCCCCTTTCCAACTACCAGCTCATTGGTTCCAGACACTCCCCAAACGGCCCAAACTAAACATTTTTTCTATGTATGCATCGTTCAAAGGGGCACTCTCCTGCCACGTCAGCCGAGTATCTGGAACGAAAATTTCCAAAATTAGGGCCTGACCAGTATGGAAATATATGCAAGATGTTTACTTTCCTTCATGAAAAAAAAGTTACAAGGGAGCTGGCGTGCAATGCAGGATTCCCTGGGAAGCAGGGAGCAGCTAGAGCCCAGCACCCGCCAACTTTGAACCCTTCTCTGCCTGGTGAAGGCAGGGAGAGGGGTGAGGAACCCAGTCCCACGTGGCTCCCTATGGCCCAAATCCCTGGGTTCTTTGACCAGGGATCCCGCATGGCCAGCGCAGGTGTCGCCTCTCGGTCCCTGTGGCCAGCTGGCCCTCGCATCGCTCCCACTCCCAGGGTCTCTAGTCATGCACATGCGGACTGGCCCGCCCGGCAGGTGGGCAGGAGACCATGCTCCACTGGCATCACCGGTCTGGGTTTTCGCGCCGGTTCTGGCCCGCTTCGAGGGAACATCCTCCAGGGCAGTTGGAATTTGGGCTTCCCCGGGGTGCAGCGAGAGGATAATAGAACTGGCTGGAGAACAAGTGAAAGAACGCGAGGATCCGGTCTCGCCCGCAGAGGCAGAGAATGAAAGCGGGGCAAGTTTGAGAAGGCGCTTTTGAGACCCAAGGGAAGGACTTGGCAACCCCAGAGTCACGGGTCGAAGGTCGGGGGAGGGAGGCGGTTGCTCAGGAAGCCACACCTCGCGGTGGGAAGCGGGGATGGCAGTTTCTAGTTAGAAAATGCGGGAATCTTCCCGAAGATGAATAAATACACAGCGATGAGGATCTCCAGGGCTAGGAGCGGCACTTTCAAACCCTTACCGGGCATGTGTCCCCGTTTTTCAAGTGCAAAAACAAACAGTGAAACCAAGATTCTGGCTCTAGATCGTAAAACCAGTAAATCCAGGAGCCAGGACGCAGCTCAGGTGTGCCTGGTCCTGAGATGCCCTGAGCACTTCATGGCTGAGCCTCTGGCGAGGAGCTCAAGCAAAATCGTGGCGATGCTCCTAATTCTACAAGAGTCGCCCATCTGTCCTAACTCTGGAAGGCTTTTGAGGGGAGTGTCATCCTTAGCAAAGGAGAGCCTTACCTTAATCCTGATG